CTGGTTTATAACAACAGCGGCTCCCGTCTGACACTTCTTTTCATTTTTCCCAACATCGTGCTCTCGGGCGCGACTTCATCACAAGTTGTGCAGGAATCGCGCTCTCGCGTGGGACTTCGTCGTAATTTCTCAGACGCCGCGCCCTTGACGCTCAGGAGCGACACTCCCGTTTTGGCTTTTCAAATCATTTACTTGGGGATCGCGTTATCGCTCGAGACTTCCTCGCGATTCATGCAATAATCACGCTTCAGCAGCCCGCCTACTCGGTCTGGCCGCCTGGGCCCGCTTTCTCGACCCGCCTGGTAGAATCTGCCCACCCAATCTGTCCGTCTGGTTCTGCTACGTTTTTGGTTTTGCTTCTAGCCCACCTCTTGTTAATTTCTCTCGTGCTCCATCCTTCTCCCTCCCCCTTCCATCCGTCCTCTTTTCCCTTGTCCCCGGGGCTGCACCAATTACGCGCAGCAGGTCAGGAAGATGTGCCCCAGGGGGTACGATCGAAGACGGAGAGGGCGGGTACCGAGGGTTTGGGATACACGTGTTGAATGGCACGCGAGCGGGTAAGAGCAAACAGTCATCACATTGTTTTTGTTGTTGCGGGTGTTTTCAAATTTCCATTCTTGAAGGATGCTCCCTCGGGGCTCGCACCTTGTTGTTTACCAGGGGAAATCATCCTGCTTAAACTATGCCCCTGGTTACTTGGTTACAGCAACAACAACGGATCCCGCCTGGTATTTCATCCCACTTCATGCAGGAATCGCGCTCTCCCGTGGGATTTCATTTCAATTTATTCATACGCCGCGCCCTCGACACTCAGGAATTACTGTGGCTTTGGCTTTTCTAATGGTTTACTTGGGAATCGCGCTATCGCTCGAGACTTCCTCGCGATGTATGCAATCACGCTTCAGCAGCCCGTCTGCTCGATCTGGTCGCCTGGGCCCGCCTTTCCGACCCGCCTGGTAGACTAATCTGTCCGTTTGGTTTTACCATGTATTTTCGGCTCCTATTCTTTTTCTTCGTTAGTTTTTCTCGTGCTCCATCCTTCTCCCTCCTTCCATCCGTCTTCTCTTCCCTCGTCTCAGGGGCTGCACTACATGCACGTGGCAGGTTAGGGAGATCTCCCCCCAACGGGGTACGATCGAAAACGAAGAGGGCGGGTACCGAGGGTTTGGGATATACGTGTTGAACGGCACGCGGGCATATACGAACGAACATTATTAGACTGATAGTTGTTGTTGCTGCTGCTGCTGATGTAGTAGTAGTAGTAGTAGTAGTAGTAGTAGTAGTAGTAGTAGTAGTAGTAGTAGTAGTAGTAATAGTAGTAGTAGTAGTAGTAGTAGTAGTAGTAGTAGTAGTAGTAGTAGTAGTTGTTGTTGTTGTTGTTGTTGTTGTTGTTGTTGTTGTTGTTGTTGTTGTTGTTGTTGTTGTTGTTGTTATTGTTGTTGTAGTAGTAGTAGTAGTAGTTGTTGTTGTTTCTGTTTTTGTTGTTGTTGTTGCTCCTGCTGCTGCTGTTGTTGTTGTGGTTGCCGTTTTTGTTTTTGTTTTTGTTGTTGTTGAGAACTCATTACTGAAGAACCATTATTGTTGATCTGCGGAAGCGGTTCCGCGCGTTCTCGCCTCGACGCCGGTTGCATTTTCTCTGAAAACGAGGCTCCCGCGCGAGCGTTGGCTTGAGTCTAACTGTGGGCCTTTGGAGACCCAGCTACGACGACAACGGCTCCCGTTCGATACTCCCTCACAGTTTACCCCGAGACACCCTGGCCAGAGAGGCCCCCGAACTCAGAAACGGCGCTCTCGCTCGACTCTTACCCGTAAGTCAGGCAAGTTGGCGGAGGCCAAGCCACGACGACGGGTTCCTGCTCGATACTTCCTCACGATTTACTCCGAGAGCCCCTGGCCAGGAAGGCCCCCGAACTCAGGAACGGCACTCTCGCTCGAGACGGTCTCGAAATTCAGGCAAGTTGGTGGAGGCCCAGACACGGCGACAAGGGTTGCCGTTCGATGTTTTTCCATCGGTACTCCGAGAGCCCCTGGCCAGAGAGGCCCTCGAATTCAGGAACGGCGCCTTCGCTCGAGACTTCCGCGCACTTCAGTCAGTGGCCGACGAGGAAGAGATTTCCCCCCGAAAGGGGGTGCAATCGAAGACGAAGTGGGCGGGTATCGAGGTCTGGGGTATACGGAATGCAAGACACGCGTGCCAGTAAGAGCGAACAGTCTTAAAATGATTGTTGTTGTTGCTGTTATCGTTGTTGTTGTTGTTGTTGTTGTTGTTGTTGTTGTTGTTGTTGTTGTTGAAGTTGTTGTTGTTGCTGTTATTGTTGCAGCTGTTGTTGTTATTACTGTGTTGCTGTTGATGTCGCTGTTGCTGCTGCTGTTGTTGCAGTTGTTGCTGTTGTTGCTGCTGTTGTAGTTGCGGTTGCGGTTGCGGTTGCTGTTGCTGTTGTAGCTGTTGAATTTTCATTTCTGAAGAATAACTATCGTTGACCCCCCTCACCGGTGTAGACGGTTTTTTCTCCATCAAAGTGTGCCCTCGACGCTCGCACTCTGTTTTTTGACGGGGGAAGTCTTCCTGCTCAAACTGGGCCCTTGCCCCCCCGGATTGCAATAACAACGGCTCCCGCCTGAGACTTCCTCCAAATTTACTCATGACCCCCTCTCCTGAAACTTCCTCACACTTTACTCAGGATTGGTGCTTCCGCCTTTGACTTGCTCGCAATTGAGTCAGGACCCCCGCTCCCATCTGAGACTTCCTCACAATTTATTCAGGAACGGCGCTCCCGCTTGAGACTTCCTCGCAATTGAGTCAAGATTTCCTTGCAATTTAATCAAGACCCCCGCTCCCGCCAGAGAGCCCCTCACATTTTATGCAGGAATTGCGCTCTCGCCTGTGACTTTCATGCAATGTATTCAGAAATCGCGCTTTCGACGCTCAGGAAGCACGCTGCGCCAAGGACGCCGTTACAATTCACTTTGTAATCGCGCTCTCGCCATACCCAGGCATCCCACCTGAATGTCCAACCCGCCCGACCCGCCCGTCAGGGGATCGCCCGTCCGTCGTGGGCTCCCGCCCGAGACTTCCTTCAGGAACGGCGCTTTCGCCTAGGACTTCCTGGAACTTTCACGCTCTTACCTTCCTGCTCCTCCTCCCTCTCCCTCCTCCCTCCTCCCTCCTCTCCTCCCTTCTCTCTTCCCTCATCCTTATGCCTCTCTGCCCTGTCCCCTCTCCCTCCTCTCCCTCCTCCCTTCTCCCTCCCCTCTCCTGCCTCTTCCCTCCTTCTTTGTTTCTCTCTCTCTCTCTCTCTCTCCTCTTTTTTTTGTTTTCTCTCTCGCTCTCTCACTCTCTCTTTCTCTACCTCTCTTATCTGTCTTTCTCTCTCTCTCTCTGCCTCTACTCAAGCGCCCCCCTCTTCGCTCCGTCTTTCCTGGCGTTTTCCCTCTTCTTTCGTCCCTCCCCCTCCCTTCCTCCCACTCTCCCTCGTTCTCCTCCTCTTCATTTTGCAGGCCCACACCAATTCCAATGGCGGGCACATGTACGCCCAGGAAGGATTGTCCGCCCGTTCAGGTTTACCCGCCTGTCTAAGCCCGCCGCCCCCCGCAAAGAAAAAGAACCCCCCCAAAGGGGGTGTGATCGAAAACAAAAAGGGCGGGTATCGAAGGTGTTGGGAACTGGTTTTAAAAAAGAACACATGGGCAAGTAAGAGCGACCAGTCTCATAATGATTGTTGTTGTTGTTGTTGTTGTTGGTGTTGGTGTTGGTGTTGTTGTTGTTGTTGTTGTTGTTGTTGTTGTTGTGGTTGTTGTTGTTGTTGTTGTTGTTGTTGTTGTTGTTTGTTTGTTTGTTTGTTTGTTTGTTTGTTTGTTGTTGTTGTTGCTGTATCTGCTGTTGTTGTTGCTTTTGTTGATGTCGTTGGTGCAGGTGCTGCTGTTGGGGATGCTGAAAATGATGATGGTGATGATGATGCTGCTGATGATGATGGTGGTGGTAGGGGTCATGATGGTGATGGTGATGGCGATGATGATGGTGCTGATGATTGTGGTGGTGGCGAGGGTGGTGGTGAGGATGCGGAGGAGGAGGAGGAGCGGGGATGATCAGTGATCAGGAGCAGGAACAGGACGAATAGGAGGATGTGGAGCAGGAGGAGGAACGGGCGTGGGACAAATATGAAGAGGATCGCTGAGGATGTGCAGCGAGGAGGAGGAGGAAGAGGAGGCGGCGGAGGAGGCGGCGGAGGAGGAGGAGGAGGAGGATGAGGAGGAGGCGGAGGAGGAGGAGGAGGAGGAGGATGAGGAGGAGGAGGCGGAGACGGAGGCGGAGGCGGAGGCGGAGGAGGAGGATGGAGAGGAGGAGGAGAACGAACAACAAACATAATAAGAAAAAACCGAATAATAATATGACCAGAATACTAGTACGAATAATAATGTATTTTGTATACTAAGCAGAAAACTAACAAGAAGAGGGATAGTAATAATACGACGACGAAGACGAGCAGTTCTAATACTACTAATAAGAAGAAGCATCATACTGGGAAGCAGAAGAAGAGTATGGTTAAAACGACAAAGAAAAATACTAACGAGAAGACAAAGAAGAAGAAAACGACTAGCATTCATAGTCCTTTTAGCACTAATAAGCACACTACTAAAACAACTGATAATTATACGACTACTAAGACTAACGACGCTAATATCATTAATACTTTTACCAATGCTAATAATATAAATAAGCATCCCCAAAACAGTATTAATACTATTATTAAGAGTAATTCTACTACGAATAATAATAGTAAGGATAATCATACTAATGCTAGTAATAGCATTAAGAATATTATTAATAATAATCTGCATAATACTAGTTTTACTGAGACTCAGAATGATAATGATAACACGCATGTTATCATTAGTAATGAGAAGAATAGTAGGAATACTATTCATGCTGATACTAAGAAAAAGAAGAGGAGGAGGAGGAGGAGGAGGAGGAGGAGGAGGAGGAGGAGGAGGAGGAGGATCGAGGATCCACCGCGTCTCGGCCAGGAGGGCGTATGCACCACTCCAGGGCCAAGGATGGCACTGGCTGAGCACGGTGGTAGTGTATAGATGCCCTGCGGAGCGCCCTGGGGGCGCCCCCGTCTCCAGAGTCACCCGCCCGGGGCTGGGGCAGGCTGGACTGGAGGATCGCGCCAAGTCGCTGATGAATTGGCGACGCGTCGCCTGTGCATCGGTCATGCGGTGCGATCCTCTGACCTCTTCTGCTCCAGCCTCACTTGCGCGGCCTCCGCTGCCCCCGCCTCGGTCCCCCCGACGTCGGAGCCACTCGCGGAGCCACTCGCGGAGCCACTCGCCGATGGGCGAAGCCACTTGCCATGCTCCGCAGTCGCAGAACCGCGCGCCGACCAGCGAAGCCGAAGCGGGCCCATGCGTTCGCAGTCGGCGAGCCCGGAGGCATCGGGGAGCCGCATCAGCTCCCTCGAGGCCGTGCGGCGCCGCGAGTTGGCGCTGTACATGCCGGTGACGCCGCTGGTGCGGCCGCCGCCGCCTACCACCGAGAGGGCGTCGCTCTCGCAGTCCCCGCGCAGCTCCGCCGAGCCGCTGGCGTCCTGGCAGTGGCCCAGGCCCCCGGCCTCGCCCAGCGAGCCCGCCGCGGCGGCGGCCCAGCAGACCGCCGCAGCGGCCGCCGCGCCGAGCACCGCGCGCACGCGTGGCGGACGGAGCCCCGAGGGGCGGGCGGAGCCCATCTCGGCAGCCGCGGCGCCCTTCGCCCCCGCGCTTGCTGGCGCGCGCTCAGGTCGGCGACTAGAAAGGGTATGGTCCTCCTCCTCCTCCTCCTCCGTCCTCCGTCTTCCGTCCTTCTCCTCCTCCTCCTCGTCCTCCTCCTCCTCCTCCTCCTCATCCTCCTACGCTGGGGTGTGGTTTGCGATCGGCACCGTTGGGGCCTGGGGAGCACGACACCGCCCTCGCTGGGCCTCCTCTGGGCGCGGCGGAGAGCTCTGTCCACGTCCTCGCCCGTCCCCCAGGGTGCCCCCCAGGGTGCCTGCTGCAAACCACACCCTTGGCAAACCGCACCCTTGGGAGTCGCCGCTCAGGGTCGTGGAGGGGGCCCCGACTCCAGGCGGAGTTGGCGCACGACGGCGGGCTGCGGCTCCGGAGCTTCCAGGTGGCCCTCGCCAGAGACTCCCCCTCCGCTATCTTCGGCCTCTCGGTCACCGACACCGCGGGCGCGGAGCTCGAGGTCTCGTTTGTGGACCCCAGCGGGGCTCTTGCGCGGTGTTCCGCCACAAATGCACATACCCAGACACCTCCCAGTGCATTGTCCCTGGTGATTGTTGTCTTATTCATTGTTTAGCCGATCGGCGCGGGCCCTCGCACCCCCCCCATCCCCCCCCATGGAGTACATCTTGGCTGTTTTTGGCGCCTGTTTCGAGCAGGTGGGGTCTCCCCCATGGGACGCACTGGCTGCAAACAGTCGCACTAAGCAGAGGCCCGGAGCCAGAACCCCCCCTTTCGCCCAATGTCGAAACGCCGAATAAGAAGACGTTCACCTTGGTCTCAGGGGATGGGTGGCGGTGCATACGTAGATCATCACGAAAAGCGGACGACTTGACACACCGCCACTTTCTCTGCAGGCCAGCGTGTGTCTGCGTATAGGCTTGTGCGGTACAGGTGGAACCGTGACAATCCTTCGAAGGCCCTTGCGATCGGAGACCGCATTGTGGCCGTCGACCACATCGCGCGGGACCCCGCCAGGATGAGGCGGGAGCTGTCGGAGGCCGCCGCCGTGGTCCTCTATTGCATGGGGAGCTCAGCCTCTGACCGGTTTTACTTCTGATCGCCCATCGCCCGGGAGGTTCTGGCTCGATGATCCGCAGGACGTGTGTTGGCCCAGTGTGTGGTTTCCCCCGTTCAGCGCCACCGATCGCACGCAGCCTGTGTCGGCCCTCGTTCACGCCGCCTGCGTCGCGTTGAAGGGCGTCGGTGGACAAGCCGACGACGACGACGACGACGACGACGACGACGACGACGACGACGACGGCCACGGCGGGGACGACGACGGCGACGACGGCGACGAGGACGACTCGTTTGCGCTAAAATAGGGCGACGATCCTATACATATCCACTGCTCCTGGCCGGGCCCATCCTAGGCCCAGGAGCAGTAGTGGAGGAGGAGGAGGAGGCGTTGGAGGAGGCGTTGGAGGAGGAGTTGGAGGAGGAGTTGGAGTTGGAGTTGGAGTTGGAGTTAGAGGAGGAGGAGGAGGAGGAGGAGGAGGAGGATGAGGGAGGAGGAGGAGGAGGAGGAGGAGGAGGCGTTGGAGGAGGCGCTGGAGGAGGAGTTGGAGTTGGAGTTGGAGTTGGAGGAGGAGGAGGAGGAGGAGGAGGAGGAGGGGGACCCACCGCGAGAGAGGGGGGTCCTGCGCTCCCCTCCTCCTCCCTGGGCCGCCTGGCGCGCTCTCCCGCCGCCACGGCCAGATCTCGCCGCCCTACGAAAAACGCGTCCTGAGGATCCTCGACCGACGGCCGCCTCCGCCGCCGCCGCTGCCGCGGGCTTCGCCCGCTCGCCCGGGAGCTGGCGGGAGCTGGCAGGAGCCGGTGGTTCGCCACGAGGTGCGGGGGAAGCGGAGGCTTATGATGTTCCAACGTGCTTTAGCTTTGACCACCAGGAAGAATTTCGAGCACCAGGAACGTACCGAAATTTGAGGGTTTGCAAGTGTAGGGCCCTGTGAGGCGATACTCGTTCCACACTGTTTCGGTACTTTTCTGGGTGTTCGAAATTATTTTTGGGATGTGGTCATGAAGTGCGATAGGAGCAACTTGAGCAGAGGTCTGCAGACGGCACCCTGCGCACCACCATCGAGGGAAGAGCCACGCGGACCATGCCCAAAGACCCCCCCGGGGAGGCCCCAAGAGGCGCCCAGGAGGCCCCAAGAGGCCCCCCAAGGGCCTCGAAGAGGCCCCAAAAAGGCCCCAAGAGGCACCCAAACGGCCCGCAAGAAGCCGCCGAACTGCCTCCAAGGATAGAGCGACCACCATCGAGTGAAGATCCGCACGGACCATGGCCAAGTGATCGTTTTCTTATTCATTGCTTAGCCCATCGGCGCGGGCCCTCGCACCCACCCTCCCCCCTGCCCCCTGGAGTAGATCTTGGGTGTTTTTGGCGCCTGTTTCAAGCAGGTGGAGTGTCACCCCCAGAGGACGCACTGCTGCAAACAGTCGCATTTAGTAGAGGTCTGGAGCCAGACCCCCCCCCTCCGCACAATGTCGAAACGCCGAACAAGGAAACGCTCACCAAGACGTCGCGGGATCTTGTTGGACGCCGATCTTGGTTGATCATGGTCCATGCCAGCCGTCGCCGATTCGTCGGCGGCGAGCGAGGGGGGAGAAACGAGAAGGAGGAGGCCTTCTCAGAAGGCGGCGGGGCTTCTCAGAAGCCCTCCGGCCTTCTGAGAAGCTTTTTGTGTCTTCGGGAAGGTTTAGACAATTTTTCAAGGGCCAGTGGACTTCCGAGCCTTCTGAGAAGGCCCGCCCCCTTTCATTTCCTCCCAAGGTCGCCGCCGAAAGATGGACGGTGACCGAGATCGGCACCGCCGTTACCGCTTCTTGGGGGCCGTTTTGAGGCCTCTGGGGGGCCGTTTGGGAGCTTCTTGGGGGGTCTTCGGAGCCTCTCGCGTGTCTCTTGGGGGTCTCTTGGGGGCCTCTTGCGGCCTCCTTGGGGCCTCCTCCTGGGGGCCTCTTGATGCGGAAGGATTTTCGGTTCGTGCTCTCCCTCTTGGGCCCTTCTTGGGGCTGTCTTTGGGCCTTCTTGGGTCGTCTGGGGCGGCTCTGGGGCCGTCTTGGAGCCCTCTTGCGCCGTGTTGGGTCTCTCCTGGGGACCTCTTGGGTTGTCTTGGGGCGGTCTTGGGGGCTTCTTGGGCCGTCTTGGAGCGTCGGGAGCTTGAAAAGGGCGTCTTTTGTGCGATCGCTTGGCGACTCGGGGCCCTCTTGGACCGTCTTGGGGCCTCTTGGGGCCCTCTTGGCCCGTCTTGTGCACCCCTTGGGCTCGCGGGAAGCACTGAGAGAATTGAGAATTTGGGCTCCAGGCCCAAAAAAGACTTCAGGAGTGCGGACTGAGGCTTGAAGGATTGGGCAAAGGACCTGACGCCCTCTCCGTGCCCAGCGGCACGGCGGCGGATGGGAAAATATGGGGAGTGGAGGGGAGGACGAAAATCCAGAACATACGGGAAAAGATGAGGAATCCTGAGATTTGCATTTTTGAATTTATTCAAGGGGCCTTCCGCGGGTCCGCAGCACCCCAGACGAGGCGGGGAATCCACGGTCGAGGCCTCGTTGGCTTCTTGGGCACTCTCTGGGGGCTCTTGTCGGCGTCTCGGGAGCTGCTTGGGGGCCCAGCGGAGCCTCTTGTGGGCAGGTTTGAAGCTCCTGGGATTCGTACCTATTGATATCCGTGTTCCCCATGTCAAGGGACGAGAAACCACCTGGACCCGATAATTGGCGCTTGCTAAACGGCCCTGGGCGTTTACTAAGCAGCCCTACCACGTTCGATTCCTTCCGTGGGTGCGTTCACTCAACGGCTTCGCTTGTCCGGGTGGTGATGATGGGGGTGGATTTTGTGCCCTCCACCAGGGGCCCACTCAGTCATGGCCTCGCCTTCCACACCGCGCTGGGGCCCCCAGGAAAGAGGCGGGCCCCCCTGCGCCCGACCGGTCCGCGACGGGAGGGGGCCGCGTACACTCCGTGGCGGGAGAGCCACGTGCGAGCGCGCGCAGCAGCAGTCTGGAGGGAGAAGAATCACCCGGACACGAGTACCCAGAGATCCGACGTTCCAACAAAAACTGGGGCGGCGGGGTTTTGGCTACTTTCGGCCTCAGGGTGCCCTCGCCGGGCCTCGGGACAGAAGGAGGAGGAGGAGGAGGAGGAGGAGGAGGAGGAGGAGGAGGAGGAGGAGGAGGAGGAGGGAGGGAGGGAGGGAGGAGGGAGGGAGGAGGAGGGAGGGGAGGGAGGGAGGGAGGAGGGAGGGAGGGAGGGAGGAGGGAGGGAGGGGAGGGAGGGGAGGGAGGAGTAGGAGTAGGAGGAGGAGGAGGAGGAGGAGGAGGAGGAGGAGGAGGGAGGAGGAGGAGGAGGAGGAGGAGGAGGAGGAGGAGGAGGAGGAGGAGAGGGAGGAGGAGGAGGAGGAGGAGGAGGAGGAGGAGGAGGAGGAGGAGGGAGGAGGAGGAGGAGGAGGAGGAGGAGCACCAAAAAGATTGGAGCATCCGGATGTTTGGGTACGCGCCACTCGTTAGAGGTCGGTGTTTTTGGACATCCAGATCCCATCCTGCTTCGAGCGCCCTCCTACTTTCAAGAGTCCATCTACGCCGTCGTATCTTCTGCTTCCACCCGCCGCTTCCGGCTGGCAGGTGAACATCGATGCCCAGGAAACAAGCGTGGGAAACACACGGGTGCTGGAGCGGAAGCCGAGCCTCCAGCAGAGACGACACAGCACCGGGGGAACCCTTAGGGGGCCACACGCGAACCCTACCCCATACCCCCCACGATTTCTGAGGGGGAGGGTGGGGTTCTCTTCGTTCGGGAGCTCCCGAGCGAAGTGAACCCCACCCTCCCCCTCAGAAATCGTGGGGGGTAGGGGTAGGGTTCGCATGTGGCCCCCTGATCCTGGGACTCGTGCCTGCTCCTCCGTGCCTCCCCGGCCCCTCTGCAGTGCGCGCGCGCACAGCAGGAGCCTGTCTGCCGGGGCGCCTTGGCGCGCCGGTCGGCACCCTCGGGGAACCCCTGGGTGGGCTCCGCGCCCCCGCTCGCCAGGGGGGGGGCCCAGCCCATCGAGGAGCGCCCCTCGTGTCCCATGACGAACGAGCAACACACACCCATACCCATAGGGGGGTCGTTGGCAGGAGGACTGGCTATGGGTATGGGTGCGGGTCGTCGGACCCTGGGGAACGCCCCCGTTCGAGCGGGGACCCACATCCGGCAACACGCACCCATAGCCCTCTCCGACCCCCCTATGGGCATGGGTGTGTGTGTTGTGTGTGTGTGTGTGTGTTGTGTGTGTGTGTGTTGTGTGTGTGTGTGTGTGTGTTGTTGGTTCGTCATCCCAGGCGTCCTCGAGAGGTCTGGGCGCCCCGGAAGCGTGCTCCGCAGACGGCAGGCCATGCCCGGAAGAGGCCGGGATGTGGATGGCGTCAAGTCGGGCCTGTCCCTCTGCAGGGGGAAGATTAAAAAAAAAGTGCAGAAGTAGTCAGGGGACGATTTTTTCGACCATTTTTGGGCATTTTTGGTATATTTTCTGCCCCTTTTTGAGTTTTTACCCCAAAATCCGCCTGTAGGCGGACATGCCCGACCTAAGGATAGCGTGTCGCGCCGCCGATTCTGTCCCATCACGCCTCCCCAGACATCCAGACGCTCCAGTTTTTTTGGTGCGCGGGCCCTAGATGTCTGGGACACTTCCCCAGGGCGTTTTCTTTACGTCCTGAGTTGTTTTTGACAGTCCCGAGGCCGGAAATAATCCAAATCCCGCCGCCCCAATTTTGTTGGAGCGTCGGATCTCTGGGTCGGCGCGGCACGCTATCCACCTCCTGGTCCCCCGGTCTTCCACGTGCCGAACCTTTCACCGAGCCTTCCGCACCGCGGAGTGGAGCGACACGCACTCCGCTCGCAAGGTGTGGCGGGCCGCCGGGGCCGCCGTGGCGACACGTTAAGCACGGTGGTGGTGGTGTATGGCAGTATGATGTTCCAACCCACTTCAGCCTTGACTGCCAGAAAGAATTTCGAGCACCAAGAAAGTACCGATACTGGAGGATTTTCACGTGTCGGGCCCTGGGAGGCGATACTTGTTCGACACTTTTTCCCGGAAAGGGCGTGAGCCCAGGGTTCTCTTTTAGTGTGTTTACCCCCGGTTTTGACTTGAAGGAGGCCGGCGGGTTTCCGCTCGATAAAAACAAGGTGAAGTCAAATTCGGTGTGAACAACATGCGTTTCGCGCGTGCCCGATCGAGGAAAGTGAGCACCCCAGCTTGGATCCTCGATAATAACGGGGTCCGCGGACCACCGTTTTCCGTTGTTAAAGGGTGCAGGGGCATTTTCAGCAGAATCCTCGAACAAAAACGAGGTCTGGAGCCTCGACCGCGACGCGGAAAAGCGTCCCGCGCGCAGGAATTCCGAGAATGTCGCGCGCGTGCCGCGTCCCGCGCGCAGGAATTTCGAGGATGTCTCGATTAATTCGCTGGTTTTTCTCAGAAACGGCGGGGGCCCAGGGTTCTCTTTTAGTATGTTTACCTCCGCTTTCGGTGGCTGTAGGGCCAGCGGAATTATTTTGCGATACATAACGAGGTCGCCTAGGGGCGGCGGAATTACGTTTGAGGAAGTCTCGAGCGAAACGCTTGTTTTTCATAACTTGTTGAGCATGTCTCGAGCGAATTGTGCTCTCCTGGGGACCAGCGTCCCCTTGGCACGTCCCCTGGCACGGCGCTTGGTGCGTCCCTTGAGACGTTCCGTGGCGCGTCCTCCTGGCATGTCCCCCTGTCAATTAGCTCTGGGGCAGCTACTATGTGTTCAGGCAGCTCGAGCTTAAGATCCAGATCAGTTCGGTCAGGACTCGGATGCAAAGGAGGACTCGATCCACAACGCTATAGAGCACAATCGCGGCATGGCACATCGCAATTCAGCACGGCGCAGCACAGCACAGACTTCGGCGCGGTACATCAAGATTGATACACTCAGCATTGCAACAGGGCACGTTCCTTGGCACGTTCTGTGGGGCGTTCCTTGGCGAGTCCCCCTGGCACGTCGCGTGGCGCGTCCCCTGGCACATCCCGTGGCACATCCATTGGCACGTTCCGTAGCGCGTCCCCTTGGCACGTCCCGCGGTGCGACCCCATGGCACGTCCCCTGGCACGTCGCCTGGCGCGTCCCTTGAGACGTTCCGTGGCGCGTCCTCCTGGCATGTCCCCAGGTCAATTAGCTCTGGGGCAGCTACTATGTGTTCAGGCAGCTCGAGCTTTTAAGATCCAGATCAGTTCGGTCAGGACTCGGATGCAAAGGAGGACTCGATCCACGACGCTATAGAGCACAATCGCGGCATGGCACATCGCGATTCAGCACGGCGCAGCACAGCACAGACTTCGGCACGGTACATACAGATCGATACACTCAGCATTGCATGTGTCCGTCACCCAATCAGGTGTTTTTGAAGCGTTGCCATGCCTTACATTTCTGTATTCCTTTCCGAGTTCGTGGGTCGATCATGTTCGATACTTTTCTGGGTGCTCGAAATTATTTCTGGGATGTGATCCTTAAGTGCGATGGGAGCAACATGAGGATAGCCGCCTTCTGCGGACATGCTCCCCCGAGACTCCGAGTTGCTGCGTCCTGGATACCGACCGGCGGCGAGGGAGAGGGAATGGGCCAGCTGGAAGGGCCCTTCTCTCCAAGGGCCAGGCTGGATCCAAGGAGGCCCAGCGGAGACTTCTGAGGAGCCTCCTTGGGAGCCTCCGACGGGCTTCTCCGAAGAAGGCTGGCTCTTCTCGGCGGGCGCCAACCGAGCACCCACACCGATCCTGGCCAGACCAATCCTGGGCCCGGGACGATGCGCGCACTCCTGGCCTAGCCGTGATTGCGCGTCCACCGATCGTGGCGCCAAGATTGGTCTGGCCACGATCGGTGCACCTGGACAGTTGGCGACCGCCCGATTCTTAGGAGGGTGAGCCACTCTGGCTGGTCCGCCTGACTTCCAACGTCGTGGAAACATCACGACGTTGGCAAGAGCATCGCGACAAATGCGTCAGAGCCAATCGTTTTACGGGATCTTTTGAGCCAGGTAGATCCGTGAGGGTCGCAGAAGTCAGGCAGGCCTGCGATAGAGACGAATGGTTCCAGCGCGTTCCAGAAGGCTCTCAGAGCGTTCCCGAAGCGCTCCAGAACGGCCGCGGCGCCAGATACACCCTCGAGATCCGCCCGATCTCCTCGACGGCGGATTTCTCTGGACCCGATGTTGCGTTCAGCCTGTCTTCGTCTTGAGACCCAGACATCCTGACGCTCGATTGCAAAAAAACCCTGGATTGCAAAAAAACCCAGGATTGCAATCCTTCGTTTTTGCAATCCTTGGTTTTTTTGCAATCCTTCGTTTTTGCAATCCTTCGTTTTTTGGGTGCGCGGGCCCCGGAGGTTTTTGGGCCGCTTCCCCGGGGCCGGTTTATTCGCCCCGAGCCGTTTTGTGACAGCCCCGAGGCCGGGCGAGGGCACCCTCTGAGGCCCCAGATAACCAAAATCCCTGAGGCCCAGGAGGAGGAGGAGGAGGAGGAGGAGGAGGAGGAGGAGGAGGAGGAGGAGGAGGGGGAGGAGGGGGAGGAGGAGGAGGAGGAGGAGTTTTTTTGGAGCGTCGGAGCTCTCGAGATGGCGCGGGTCGCACTCTTGCCACGGCGCCCGCGTCGTGCCTGGGCCCTTTCCTTCCTCGCCGAGCGGCGTGCATCGATAGGGCTGGAGCCGCACAGGTGTGGAGCCCGCGCCGCCGCTCACAGGAAGACCAGGCGGCCGCCGGCGGTCCTGGGGAGGCGCGTGCGCGCCTTCGCTTGGTAGGCCGCGCATCGAAAACATAATATCGTCGGATGTCCGGGTACTGGCGGAGGAGGAGGAGGAGGAGGAGGAGGAGGAGGAGGAGGAGGAGGAGGAGGAGGAGGAGGAGGAGGAGGAGGAGGAGGAGGAGGAGGAGGAGGAGGAGGAGGAGGAGGAGGAGGAGGAGGAGGAGGAGGAGGAGGAGGAGGAGGAGGAGGAGGAGGAGGAGGAGGAGGAGGAGGGGAGGAGGAGGAGGGAGGAGGAGGAGGAGGGAGGAGGAGGAGGAGGAGGAGGAGGAGGAGGAGGAGGAGGAGGAGGAGGAGGAGGAGGGAGGAGGAGGAGGAGGAGGAGGAGGAGGAGGAGGAGGAGAGGGGAGGAGGAGGAGGAGAGAGGAGGAGGAGAGAGGAGGAGGAGGAGGAGGAGGAGGAGGACGACGACGACGATGACGACGGCGACGACGACGACGACGGCGACGACGACGACAACGGCGACGACGGCGGCGGCAGCGCCACGACCAAAAATGGCTGCCGCTGCCTCAGAAAGCCGCGGGAGACTCGAGTCCACCGTGCCGCGCTGGTGTCTCGCGACCCAGGCCTCTCTTCCTCATCCTCCTCCTCCTCCCCCTCCTCCTCGTGCTTCACGACGGGAGGTGTTTCGCTATTTTCGGTCTCCGGGGGCCCTCACTGGGGCTCGGGACCGTCAAAAAACAACTCAGGACGAAAAACCGGTCCCGGGGAAGGGGTCCTGACCTTTGGGGGTCGACGTTGTGAACCAATCACGACGTCGGGGGTCGTCGATCCTCGAGCCGGCCATGGTGTGGTGCATAGTTTGTCGGCCCCTCAGAGCCGACAAGTGCTGTACCGTTCATGCCGGAGCGGGGTCTCAAGGGAGTCCCAGCATGGTACGGTTCATGGGGGCCGCTCTCTTAAAAGAAAGCCTTTGCGCGCTGGTGGAAATGTCTGTCGATTTTCACCATGTCAATACGTGGTGAGCCCTTGCGCCCCTGAAGCAACTCGTAGCCAGAACCGATGCAAGAGACCATTGGTTGTCGGCGGCGTGTTGTGCTACACCAAGCTCGGCTGCTGTTCGCGTTGCTGGGCTCTGGGGGGAAGTGCGGCGCCACCCGCTTCTCTGCGTGGAGCCACGTGGCGTTGCTTCACCCCGCCGTGCGGGCCGTGGCGACAGGCCTAGGCGACAGGATGATGATGATGATGATGATGATGATGATGATGATGATGATGATGATGATGATGATGATGATGATGATGATGATGATGATGATGATGATGATGATGATGATGATGATGATGA